ACGAGTGAGTCAGTATGTGAAAGTCACAATAATTTGTAAATACCTAGCATATATACAATAAAGACACACCATGCTGACCTGACTGCGGGTTAAAAAAAAAAAAAAAATAGATAATATTTACTTTATTAAATAAAATAAAACTCGTATTACGCCAAATTTGTTAGATGATAATCGAGAATTATTACTTTAAAGTTCGCATCCGCTATACTGTACCTAGTATACAGTATATAATTTAAGTATTAAATAATACTGTTTTAAAAGTTATATCTAACCCTATGATTTCTTATAAATTTTGGATAATAATTAATTGATTCAATAAGTTAAATAAGGATTTTTTATAAATAAATTGATTATCTGGATAAGAATTTTAAGCATTCGTGTTGTGTATGTTAGGCACTGAAATAATATTATAAAAAGTTCACATTCTCGAATCTTTATATTTATACATTTAACTAAATTTATTCTATTTAAGGGATTCATTACTTCCTACATCTTTTGTTACTCGATCTCTCAAGAACCTCCTCAATATCTTTCCCGAGGCGCTCTTCGGAATTTGATCGACAAACACAATGCCGCCTCTGATTTTCTTGTGCGGCGCCGCCTTCGTAGCAACAAACTGTTCAATACCATCTTTCAGCTCTGCTGTTGGCTCGTGACCTTGCTGTGGAACGATATACGCTACTGGAAGTTCGGTGGCATCCTTTTCGGAATAAATGCTTATTACCGCGGCATCCGCAACCGAAGAATGTGTCAACAGGAGAGCTTCGAGCTCTGCTGGGGCTACTTGGAATCCCTGAAGATAATTTCGAATCACAATGAATTTAACTAAATAAATAATTAAATAGTCAAAGAACGTTTTGACTCAGTACCTTGTATTTTATCAACTCTTTAACACGATCAATTATAAAATAATACCCTGACACAAAAAAAAAAAAAAATTAATTAATTACATAACTCGAATAATACAAAATAGTATCGAACATTTACCATCAGGATCAACACTTGCGATGTCACCAGTTCTGAACCATCCATCTTTATCGATAACCCAGTTTGTTGCCTGATTATTATTTAGGTAGCCCTAATAAATGATTAAATATTATGAGATTCATGTGCAATTCTTGCAGGCTAAATTAAAAGATTTCAATCACCTTCATGAGCATGGGCCCACGAACGTACAATTCTCCGGGTTCGTTATGCCCAAGTTCTAGCGAAAAATTCGTTTTTAATTGGAATTCGAATTTGAAATATAGAAGAATCGTTCTTTATTCAACTCTCTTACCTTCGCCATCCTCTGATAGTACTTTTGCTTCAATATTTGGAAGAAGAACCCCCACCGAGCCTGTTTGTCCAAATAAGTTAGAGAACAGGCTTTTCATCAACGATGTATCATAAATTGAAAACCAATAATTATGCATACCATTTAATAGTTTCTTTAGAGGCCCAAGGTGAGAAACAGGTGAAATTTCGGTAAGACCTTTAATCGAATGACGTGAGCGTCAGCAAAGGATTTAATCCTGATCGTAAATTTATTTGGCAAATCATACCATAAACCTGTTGGATAGGAATATTATAGATCCTGTCAAAATCATCGCTCAGCGACTTGCTCAGCGGTGCTGCACCACAAATGATATGTTTCAAACTCGACAGATCATATTCTCTTGCTACCGAACTTTTCACCAAGGATAAGACGATAGGAGGCACGACAGGAGCAATGTCGACTTTGTAATCTTGAATTGCTCGACAGAAGGTTGCTATGTCGAATCTAGGGATCACCACTGAAGTTGCGCCCTGTTTTGTTTTCCGCAGGAGGGTTGCGAGATGAATAGACGGAAGAATAAAAATTTATATATCAGACGGAATTGGAAAGGATAAAACGAAGATCAGAAACTTACCAGGACTAAAGCCAAATGTAGATTTATGTTGAGCGCGTACATATGATAGAATGGCTATCGAAAAACAGTATTTATCAAAATGAAATCCTTTTCAAATTTAAAGCAAATTCTTCATACCAGGACCCCGATATAACAAAGATCCGCACACAGATTATCTCCTTCGAACCCAATAATTTGCGACACGTTAGCCACCATATTATAGTGAGTAGTTTCCACCCCTTTATTCTTCCCTGTGGTTCCGGAACTGTAGCACAAATATGCGGTGGTAGTGCGAACTTCTTGAGCTGTATATTCGACTGGCACTGCTTCGCGAGCACCGAACAAAGTAGTATAAGGATGGATACCATTGATCCTATTTTCTCCAAATACAAAGATTCTGGATTCTGGTATTTTTGTGTTGACGGCTGCTTCGATAGCGTTAGATAAGTAATCGGGGTGGGTAATTATCACGGATGATCCGGAATCGATCAACTGATGAGTTAGTTCCTTGACAGTGTATGATGGATTAGCCGGTGAGATCCGTCCACCTGTAATTGAAGGCAATTGGTTGGTACCAAAGTACAGTATAATAAAGAGGTCTACGAAACCTAATATTTACCTGCCACTAATGTACCATATATAACCGTTGCATAATCGACCTGTCCAAGAGAGTTGTTGATTATTCACAAAGGGATTGATCCAAGCCACAAACAATCTCATTATGACACTCACTTGGTTGGGAGAATAAATACACAGCACATCACCTCTTTTGAACTCGAGCTGATCTTGCAATCCTGCAGCAAATCTTTTTGAATCTCTCTTAAATTCACCAAAGGTTATCTTTCTATGAGTTGTTGCATCAACGAAAACGACTTTCGAGTCAGGAATGTTGTTAGGATTACTGGTAACAAAATGGTAAATTCCAATATCTGGAATTTCTACGTCTGAATAATGAGAACGAAAAACGCCCATTCTTTTATCAAAATCTGTTGTGCGTAGGGAATAATTGATTGAGAGAAAGGGAGATTCGGACTTGAATTTAACGAAAACTCTCCTCTTTATAGAATTCTAAGAATTAACAATGATCTCATATTTCAGTGATTCTTCGATACGTTTGCGCTGTCAAGCGGCTGAAAATTTGTTTGCCCTGTGTGTAGTCATGCATGTATATTGACCTTTCGCAATAACAACTTAGGATAAATTAAATTTTAATAGAATTCGAAAAATTTTGATCGACTAATTTGTCAATAACGGTTATGGTAATTGCAACACAGTTCTGTTTCTCTGTTTCCCATTCTTTTAGTGTTTCTAAAGCATTTATTACAGAGAGAGAATTACTGATTATCTCACATAAAGAAGTTCCCACTTTCACATGAAAACTCCATCGTCGCCACAGAAAGTAAGGCCAAAAATTTTTTTATAGTAAAAGACGCAGCACAAATTTGTTAAAAACCAATTTTGTTAGTATACAGTATATACAGTAATCAATAACCATAATAACCGTGCTGAGTAACATTGCAGCATCGATCCGCCAGCGATGAGGTAATTATGTGCAACCCGATCTATTGCATTTCAAACTTTCAAAATACGCGCCACTTCAAAAATCGTGAATTTCACAAATCCACAGATTCTCGCAAACCCGTGTGAACGCCCTTAGAGATACGATGTTTGGTGCCCTTAATCCCTCAAAAGCTCCGCCAGATAAGCTTTCGACAAAGCCACCTTTGAGAGCACAAGAACAAAGACATAATATTACCAAATCAATATTATTAAATCGATATTATTTATTAACTTGGCGGTTAACAATAGAATATGAATAAATTTTAGTATATGTTAGGGTTAGTCGCTCAGGACAAAGAACTTATGCATAAAAATTTTATTAAAAATATTTAAGAATTTCTTCCCATAAATATTCAAATAATTCGATTGATCAATCGAGTAGAATAAAAAAAAAAAAAAAGAGATTTTATTCTGCCATCCCTGCTGCTACCAATAATATAATATTCTGCCATTATATGCAAATCATATTTTGATCTCAAAATCTCGCGCTTTTCTTGTACTTCTTCGAAAGAGAAATTTTGAATATTTTTAACTAGAAAATCACAAAAAAGCGCGTAACAAATCTTGAATGCATAAAAGATAACCGTTTGTCATCCATCAAAGTTAGGAGATAAACCCTTAACTTGAATAAAAGGTAACTTGATCATAATAACCCTTTGTTGTTTTATATATGACTTCGTAAATTCGAGAAAACGCTTGTCTCAATTTGACCCTGCGCTGACGAAAAGGGTCCTTCGTTTTCTTCTTTTTTCTCACCCTTCCCACTTTTTTTTTTAAAACACAAGAACCATGGTTGGCCCATTATCGTTAAGTTTTATCTTAGCAGCCGCAGTCATCTTATTAATCACTACTATGGGAGAAAAGACTCCAATAACCTCTTGTTCGACATCCCCCTATTGTAATGACGATTCTCAGGAAGAGGAAGAGGGGGGGGAAATTGAAGAATACGATTATTTTAGAGACTACGATTGGAGTTATGAATATTATGAAACAGAGGAAAGTGATTCTTTGCAGTCATCGAATGATCATAAATAAGGAGACAGATGAAGTGGAAAAGAAAAATGATATATGGAAGATGAATCAGAAAACGTGGTCGCTAAAAAACATTGTAGATAAAAGAATTTTGTTTTGTATAGATATTCGATCTCTTCCAAGGTTTATTTGCTCAAAAATTTTTTGGAGGAGCAGCCGCCTTTGCCCCGAAAATAAAAATAACGCTTCGTTTAAACTAGCTTCTTTCACTATTTCGTTCGCTGATTAAAATCCCAGCGAAAGGGCTCAATTTCCCTTGATTATTGTTCTAACCGGAATCAGGATTACGAAACAAATAAAAATTCCCTCCAATATACAATACAGATAGGCTTGAACAAATTTTACATAATATTGTTGCATGTCAAGGTTTCACTGTCATAGATCTATATAAGGCAAAGAATAACATGTGATGATAAAGCGGAAGGACCTGTAGAGGGTAGAGCAAATAAAGAACCAGTTACTATTCAGGGCTTCGCTAAAACCAAATTTTTTTTTGTCTAAAAAATAAAAATAAAGTTTAAAAAATACAGTATATACAGGCCCTCGTGATGCAACATTATAACATGCAGGAAAAACGGCACCGTTAAAGTCAGTCGTGATATACTATACTGTAATTTACAATATAAACAATGCATTTTTTTATTTATATAATATTTTTAAGATTTTTTTTTTTATTTTTATCACTATAGTTATTGATTAAAAGTTTTTATACAACTATACGAAGTAGAAATATCAAAAACTCTTTTACCAATTATATTTTTTCTCAAAATTTTCTTTTTTATAATTTTATTAAAAAAAAAATACAAACAAGATAGTGTAATGAGCATTATTAATCAAAAGCAAATTAAATTTCTTAAAAATTTAAATTAAATTCCATATAATATTTTTTTATAAAGTATTAATATATAAAAATCAATAATTATATTAATAAAATTTGTCCAGCAAGGTAAACTTTTTTCACTGATCCTTTGATTACACACAAAAAAGATGTTCTCAAGAAGTTTTTTCACTTCTTTGTTAATAAAGTCTTAAACTTTCATTAAAACAACTTGAAGTATGACTTCAAGAGTCACTTTTACACTTTTCCTCTTATTTACAAATCTCTTTACTCAAAAACTTGACTTCTGGTGATTAAGAAAAATCAAGTAATATCTTTAATATCAATAGCAAGAAACTTTTCAAAGAAAAAAAAACTGATTATGAAATATTTAAAAACCTTTTCAACCTTTAAAATAAAGATTTTGTTATAGTAAAAAGGATTATTTCTTTCTTTTTTAATTGTCTAAGACTTCTATTTTCATAATTTTCTAAGAAATTTTACCTATTTCAATTTGATCCTGAATTTTAAATAACATCAATTTTCTCTAAAAGTGATTGGCTGATATAAAACACATTAGTTTTTAGAATATAAACAAGTTTCTATTAATTATATTCACGTGTCTTAATGATATCATTAGTAATTGAAAAGAATGTTTTGAAAATATTTATACTTCAAAAACTCAAGTCCTTTTTAAGAAAAACATTCATAATATCAAAATATTAAGAAATGTGTAATATAGATTATAAATTTCTGTCTCTTCTCTAAACTTCTCAGATGGTAACAAAGCTTTAATAAAAAAAGTAAAGTTTAAATACTTTTATTGAGATATTCCAATTTGATACTCACTTAAATAAAAAATCAGTTGGATTAACTCATTCGATGCTATAATAATGACAAAAAAGATTTCTTTTAAGGCTCAAAAAAAGAAAGAAAATTATTTCAATCAGACAGATCTCTTTTGAAAAGTGAATTATTATTTTTTTTTAGACTTTTTTAATAAGATCTTGAATTGTTCTTCTTTTCCTTTAACTTAATAATTTATAGTTTATGGACAATTTATACAATAAACTGTTAACAATAAATCTAGTAAATTGAGGTTATTTACCAATACTTTAGAGAAGTAAAATATTGTCTTCTAGACCTAACTTAGAATACTTTGATATAAAAACAAGTTAGTTATTATGTGAAAAATCTATAATATTGTAGATAGTTATATAACTTCTCAATAAAAATAAAGCCATATAACATGATTGTAAATTAAAAAAAAAAAATCAATAAATATATTAATATAAACATTAATTTTTTTTTTTATATGCTAACCTATAATTATGTTACAATAGTATATCTTTATTTATAAATTAAAACAAAATCTATAATAATTTACAAACTTTTACAAATTAACTAGTTTGCCTTTATATATAAGTACCTTAAGTTAGATTTTAAAGATAATTTATATTTTTTTTTTTTTTTTTTAACCCACAATCATAACACAATGGCTTGTCTTTATTGAAAAATTGAAGTAACTCTACAATATTTTACAGACTTTCACAAAGTGACTAACTCGT